AGTATGAGCTTATTGCTATCATATTGTGCTTTTTTGTGTGTGTGGTGCTGTTTTCTTTGTTCCTCTTACTTTCCTGTGGTGAATTCCTTTTGTTTGTAGATTTTCTTTTCATTTCCTTCATTATTATATTTTGTGTTTACTGAAACTTTGTTTTTTTTTCTTATTTTGATGAGTAGGTTTGTTAACTTCCTTTGTGGTTACCTTGAAATTTATCCTTATCTTCCTAAGTTTGAACCAGTCTTTTATTACTTGATATCACCCTGACATTGTCTGCACTTCAAAGTTCTATACCTATACCATTTATTCCCCCTTTTATTGTTTTGACGCTGTTGTCATTTACAGACTGATGTCTCTGTTTCCCTGTTTTAAGTCTTTTAGCTTTGTTTTATGACTGAGAAATCTTTACCTAGGTTGGTAGCTAGCTGATGCTGTCCTGTGTCCTAGACTCTGGTTCTTGTCTTATGTTGTTGGTTCTCTAACCGAAGGACTTCCTTTAATATTTCTTGTAATTCTGATTTGGTTTTTATGAATTTCATTAGTTTCTGTTTACCTGGAAATGTCCTAATTTCACCATCGTATTTGAGAGTTTCGCAGGATATTATTCTTGGTTGGCAGTTTTTTTCTTTCAAGGTTTTATGTCATCCCACTGCCTTCTTGCATGCATGGTTTCTGCCAAGTAATCAGAGCTTAGTCTTATTATCTCCCCTTTAAAAGTGACTTTTCATTTTTGTACAGCTGCTCTCAGGAGAATCTACATTTTAACAAGATCCCCAGGTGATTCTTACGGATAACTTCCTGGGAACCTGTTAGAAATCAAAATTCTGAGCAGGGGTTCGAACCAGAACTAACCAGTTCACAACCCTGGTATGCACCAACATGCCAGACGGCACTTGAATTCATAAAATGAGCACAGGTTCTACTGAAGCATCAATTTTACTTAATGGCAATAGATTTTAAAATGTATTTATAAAGTTAGAACAAGCAGACTTCTGGTTTAAGATAGTGTAGTGAAGCCACATATCAAAATCCCCTTCCCTCTAAAACAGCAAATAGGTTTTAAAAAAGGCAAATAAGCCAGTACTAACAAACGTTAAAAAGGGCTGGTGGTCAGAGGAAGAACTAGCCTGGTGCAGCCCTACGCAGTACTCCACAACGTTCATTACAACTCCACTCTCCAAAGAAGCTTTAAGGGAAGCTGATTAGTGATCATCACCCCTAATTCAGTGGCAGAAGTACAGAGCATACAGAGAGCTCCAAGAAAAGATGAAGAGCCAGTGTAAGTGCAGAAGCCCCTCCCAATCAACAACAACAGAAAAAAACAAACTTGTTGCCGTCGAGTAGATTCTGACTCATGATGACCCCATGTTTTTCAGAGTAGAAGTGTGCTCCATAGGGTTTTCTTGGCTGTCATCTTCATGGAAGCAGATCATCACGACTTTCTTCCATGGTGCTGCCAGGTGGATCAGAACTGCCAACCTTTAGGTTAGGTTAGTAGGGGACTGCAAACCGTTTGCACTACGCAGGGAGCTTCCCAACCAACAAGGACACAAAAAAGGCAGGACAATGCCTGCAGCTTGCATGCTAGTGCCTCCCTGGTGGGAAGAAAGCAGGGGAGCAAGAGCAGAAGCCTCAACAACCATACAGCGAACCATCTTAAGAGAACACAGGTGGGGAAACAGGTTCATTAAAAACCTAGCTGAAGCCCCCTTCCACCCTGTGGACTTAACACTGGAGTCTCAAATGGCCTTTAATATAACCTTTCCCTCTTCTGGAGTCTCTGGGTGGTGCAAATGGTTAACACGCTCAGCTCCTAATCAAAAGATTTGAGGCTAGGTCCACCTGGAGATGCCTCAGAAGAAAGGCCTGGCAATCTACTTCTGAAAAATTAGCTACTGAAAACCCTATGGAGCACAGTTCTACTCTGATACACACAGGGCCACCATGAGTCTGAGTCAACTCCACAGCAAGTGGCTTTCCCTCTTCTGCTTCAAGGAAGTAAAAGCATCTGCTAGGAAAAGACTGGACTCTCTCAGATGATGCTAAGGTTCTGAGCCTCACAAATTATGTAAAGCAGGAGGCAGAATCAGAATAGAGTCCATCCCCAACCATGAGACAAGAGCTGTGCTACATGAGAGAAGGCAGAACCCAAGCCAGCCAGCCAAGTCAGGCCACAGCCCAGGCTGAGTTCTCCTCTTCACACCTGCACCTTCAGGCTACCAAAAATAGTATTTAAACTCTAACTCACAGCAGAGCCCAAATGTCTCAGACAACATGAGAAGGCAATCAAGGAAGATTCATCAGCGCTGAACCAGCATAAAGAGGAAATCTGGACAGTGCCGCCACCATAAGCATGAGCAAAGTGGAGAGGGGGAAAAAAAAATGAAAGGCTTCTATGCAAAACAAGAGGAAAAAAAAAGAAAAGACAGTACGCAAAAGATAGGTGAAGAGTCTATTCTGAAATATAAACTACCAAACTAAAAACATTCCTGAAGTATATCACCCTATAGAAAAACTGAGTTGGAATCAACTTGATGGCAGTGGTTTTATTTATTTTTTTTTTGGTATAGAAAAACCTGAAGATGAAAATGGAGAGATGAGAGGTAAGCTAAAACAACAGAATGAGACGAAAGCAGAGCTGGAAGAGCAAAGGAATGCAGAGACGCCTTAGTGGGCCACCCCATTTAAAGTAGTCTCCTGTTCTCCCCCAGCACTCCCTAGGCCATCACTCTGCACCATTATCCCTCTAACATCCTCTATGATCTTGTCTATCTACTCCTCACTAGAAGGTAGGCTCTACCAGAGCAGGTACCTTGTTTACCTGCCCGTAACTATGTCCCCAGGTACCTGGGTGGCAGTTTGCGCTTAATTTCTAAAGGTTGGCAGTTTGAACCCATCCAGTGGTACCACGGAAGAAAGGCCTGGAAATCTGTTTCCATAAAAATTACAGCCAAGAAAACTCTTTGGAGCAGTTCTACTCCGCACACATGGGGTCAAAGTGAGTCAGAACAGACTCAACAGGCAACAGGTTTGGTTTTTGGAACTGTGTCCCCATGACCTCAAACAGCACTTGCGTATGGTGAGCTCTCAAAAATACTTCCTGAATGAATAAACAGAAAAGAAAAATGAGACATTAAAGCAATTAGTAGACAGATGAGAACACATAAAATGATCCAACATACAAAAAACTAACACCTCAGAATCACAGAAGCCAAAAAACAGAATATAAATAAATTTAAAGACTTAACAGAAGATAATGTTCCTGATTCAAAGCAAAATCTGAGTCTGCACATTGGAAGGGTACACAGGTTCCAAAAAAAAGTCGATATAGAAAGATGACTAGAGAGCCAAATCCTGGTTATGATATTAAACTTCAAGAATAACAAATAAATTCTTCATCCAAGCAGAAAAACGACTCACTCACTCACGCAGAGGTTATGAAAGCCTGGCCTCAGATCTCTCCACTACATTCAATACAATAGTGGAGAAACGTCTTCAAAGTGCTGAGGGAAATAAACTGCGACCCAAGAATATTAACCTGGTCAAGTCATCACTCAAGTATAAAAGCAACAGGAAACGTGAAAGGGCCACGGGAAAACACCACCTCCAGTTTCTTTGTTTTTAAATCACCCAACAATGACATTCAGTCAACCAAGAGGTAAAGAAGCAGATGCAATAAAAGGACTAGTAGTAAGCACTGAATCAAAGTATTTAAAAAAAATAGATCTAAGACTAACAACCAGTGAGAAATATGATAAGGTAATTGTTCTAAACCTTGACAACACAAAAATTACACTGGAACAAACAAAACTCAGGCAATAAAGAAGATGGGGGAAGATAAGAGTACATTTCCTTCCCTTTGAAAGCACAGCCTGTAAGTCAGTAGACAGGTTTAAGTATGCTAAAGATATAAACGAAACCACTAGCACTAAAATAAGAATATAATCAACAAAAACTCAGAGGTGGAAACAGAGAGGAAAGGTAGGAGAAAGTATGTAAGTGTTATCTTTCCCATCTTTCATAGCAGGCAATCAATAGATAATAAATAAATTTCCTAGTTCATGAAAGGGCATATGATATAAACATATAAAGTAATACCCTATAAAGATAACTACTAGAAGAACAAAAAATAAACAATAAACCTTCCAAATACCAAGAAGGAACAGTATGTGTGCCTGTGCACACACAAAGAAAAAAAAGAGAACCTATATAGCAAAATAGGGAGAAAGAAGCATTAAACATAGAAAAAATAAAAACGTAAGGCTAAAATATATCTGATATTAATAAATGTTTTAAGTGGGATAAACTCATCTACTAAAAAGACTCACAGATTGGGTCAGGAGACAGGTGGTATTTTTCAAAGAGGACAGCAACTATCTTCTGCTGCAGAGGCTCTTCTGGACCCTGTTACTCCCCTTCCCTTGGTCATGGGTAGGATCCTGACGATTTTGACCAATTACAACTCTTCTGAAAGTAACACTATAACTTCAGAGGCTAGGTTGTAAAAGGTGAAGATCTGCCTTGTTTTGAGAGCTGAAACACTGGAAACTGGAGCCCTGAGCCACTATGTTTTGGAGTGATCTGTTATGCAGTATAGATAACTGAAACAGATTACCATGCAGTATTTTCAGAAAAGGCCATGCTATTAGTTCTAAACTAAACTAAACATGTTTGTTTGGAGTTTACTGAAGTTTAGCACAGGCAGTGACATCCCCCTCCAACAAGATAATAACGTGACAAATACAGTAATCTCTGTACACGATGAGCTCAATCAAAACTCTGCTGGGCACTAATATCCAGAAAAATCAGTGAAATGGGGCTTTGAACACGACTCTGCTCTCCAGGACTTAGAGGACAGTAGAGTTGGAAACAGAACTTGAGAAATGCATGATGAGCCTGTCCACTCAAGACAGGTCGTAATGTTAAGGGCATGGATGGTTGCTTATTATGACTGTCCATCAGGTATCTACTGGACTATTCAAACATTCGGGCTTGACACTCACCAACCATTTCACTCTGAAGGAAAAAAGAGCACTGAAGGCAAATATTACCCACAGCACTGGACACATAATAAGTCCTAACCAAAAAATTCTTGATTCAGCCTCTGAAGCAGTTTTGCTCTCTTGAGATGATGCCTATAAAAGAACATAAATAATCACCATTGTGATATTTATCAGTAAAAAGTTTAACATTTTTAACGACAAACACCTTAGTTACAAATTCAGATACATTAATACAGACAACCCAAGTCCTAAATTAGCAGTACCCACCCCTGTCCCCCCCCCAAAAAAAAAACAGTTCTACCACTACTGTAGTTTTAAGAGGTCATTTTAATATACTTTAAGAGCAAGAATTTTTTTTTTTTTTTAATTGTACTTCAGGTGAAGGCTTACAGAACAAATAGTTTCTCATTAAACAGTAGTACACGTATTGTTTTAATGACATTGGTTAACAACCCCAAAACATGTCAACCCTCTCCCTTCTCGACCTTCTTTTTGGCGAAAATATACATAGCCAAAAATACACCATTTCAAAAATTTCTACATGCACAGTACAATGACATCGACTACGCTCTTCCAATGGTGCTGCTATTCTCACTTTAGATGAAGGCTTACAGAACAAAACAGTTTCTCATTTAACAGTTAGTACACATGCTGCCCTATGACAAGGGTTAACAACCTCACAACACATCAACACTATCCTTACTCAACCTTGGGTTCCCTATCACCAGCTTTCTTGTCCCCTTCTGCCTTCTGGTCCTTGTCCCTGGACTGCTATACCTCATTAGTCCCATTTGGTTTTATGGGGCTGTCCACTCCCTGGCTGAACGGTGAACCTCGGAGATGACTTCACCACTGAGCTAAAAGGGTGTCTGGGGGGTCGTACTCTCGGGGTTTCTCCAGTCTCCTTTAGGCCAGTAAATCTGGTCTTTTTTCTTGTGAGTTAGAATTTTGTTCTACATCCTTCTCCAGCTCTGTCCAGAATGCTCTGTTGTGATCCTGGTCAGAGCAGTCAGTGGTGGTAGCCGGGCACCATCTAGTTGTAAGCTCAAGAATTTTGCATTTTTAGGGCAAAATCAACTGTTTATCCTGGCCCAAGAGAGTAGAAATAGGTCTCTGATAGGCTTCTATTCAATTCTTCTTGCATAGGTATAGTGTTTATTCATAAGCAAGCTTTGGATAATACCTTATTGGGTGAGGACTGAGGAAACGAAGGTTATAGTCAACAGGGACACTAAAGGTCAAGTCAGGATCCAGAGAAAGAAATGGGGTCAGGGGATTCAGGACAATGACCAAAATATGTTCACAATACCAAGGAATTTAACCCTTTTGTGACTCGTGGAACACACAGTATCCCACTCACTTTTTATGTCTCTGGAGTTCTTTGGGAGTATACTTTTCTCACTGAAAGTATTTGCTTCCCTCCAGTGAGGACTCGTGTTAACAGTGAAAGGTGAAAGAAATGTTTGTTGAAGCAAAACAGCTGGGGTATTAGGCAAAATCAGAGATGCCCCCTGTATCCAAATGGAAGGTGCCCCGTTAGTAAAGCCTGCTACCTAAGACTGGTGGGCCAGACAGGCTCCCACAAATCATGTATTTTCACATATTTCTCAAAATCTGTATTACCAAAAAACCAAACTAAACCCACTGCCATCCCATCAATTCTGACTCATAGCAACCTTACAGGACTGAGTAGAAATGCCCCATAGAGTTTCCAAGGAGCGGCTGGTGGAATAGAACTGCCGACCCTTTGGTTAGCAGCCGAGCTCTTAACCACACCAACCAAAAAATTAAACACATTCAATAACTCAGCACGTATTCCACTACTGAAAACACATGGTATCAACAAAAAATTCAAAGCAGAAAAGTAACTGGGTCTTGAAAGGGTTAAAATGGTGGTGAGCTGTTTCTAAAGTAAATTTTATAATACAAAGGAATATGGATGTGCTGAATACACTGCTGCTTTCTGAGAAGCACTAGTGGTAAAGGCCCTTCCAAGCAGAAGGTGAGCAGTGTAGTCAATACTGCATCCAAACATTTTGTCCTGTCTCCCAGACTGATCTAGAAGGCATCTCACACGGGACAAGTGAAGGACCTCCTAGTCACTAATGAGCAACAGGCTAACCCAGAACAGGCAAGGAACATCTGAAGTCAAAGTCTTAGACAACAGACTGCTTTTAAGCAATCTGGATTTTCTATCTACTTGCAATCCTTCTCCTTCTTCCTGACCAGAAGTGAAAAAGGGCCATGGGAGCAAGGACAGAGTAAGGTATCAGAAGCAGTTTATAGCTGAATATAGAAGGATCCCTGGAGAAATCAGGCAATGCGACAGTAAGTAGAGAGCCATCAGCTAAGCAGGCTGCATGAACTCTGATCTGAAGTCAGGCCTTCGGTTTGATCTCTTACTTAGAATTTACATTTCTAACAAGTTCAGTGTATCTGGGGTGGAAATGCAAATTCTCAGCAGGGATTTGAACCGGAACAAATCGGTTTGAAGCCCTGCCCAAAGTCCTCTGCTCAGAGGATTCAGTCATAAACATGCCTTGTTTCCAGTCTGAACTAGACAGAAAAATGTAGTAAGTTTTAGAAGTGTGTGTGAATTTTAAAATTTGAGGTGCCAATACGCCTGAATTGGGGGATTTCAGAACTAAAATTAGGCACTCCATTCTGAAATTAACTGATAAGTTCACTTCTGCTCTCCTGATAAACTTCTGTTAAGGTTTTACCGTTTAAAAAACAAAGCTCAGTGCCTGTTATATTAAGTGTATTTCCCAAGAGGGCTCCAGAAAACGCCTCATGGATATGTTACATAAACTTGTTGTCTTTTGTAACTACCTCCAAGGAATTCCCCAGCAGGTGCCTGGACTTCATCTCCTCTTCCCTCAGCAGAGTGAGGAGAGTTTACACTTCAAGACTTAGATTTAAAACTGATCTAATCTTTACACTTTCCTAACTAATGGTCAGTTTTATATCCGAAAATTCCAATTAAGTGGACTCAGACTGCAATACATCACTGAACCTTCATGTCAAAAATGTTTATGTTTCATTTTAGAAATACTGCCTTAGTCAAACTGTACCAAGTATGAGAGATTTGTTAGACTAGACACTGATGTTGAGAAAGCTGCAGTTAATCACCACTTGTAAATCTTTCCCTTCCTTTCCTTGCAATGGCTTTGATGTGAAACAGTTGCCTGTTAATTATCTCTGCTCGGCCTACGCTGTCGCAATCGCCTTGAATTCCTCCTGTTCTCCTGCAGAATTATTCCTTCAATAAAATTTCTGTTTTATTATCAACCTGAATGTTGGTCCAGTGACTCCACTAGGACAAAGCCATCCGGTTTAGTGCTGACATGCCAAGTGATTTGGAGTAGTGTTTTCATCTTGAATACTTCATCCTTAAACGTTCAAATGACACGGTTTTTAAAAAAGGGGGGGGGGGCAGTTTACCTTCCTGGATTCAAACACCCAATGGCTCTTTCCATCTTCATCGATATGATTCCACCAACGCAGGCCAACCATTAGTCTACCTGTGACATTCTGGTGAAGATTAATATACATACACTTATTTTAAAAGCATTATTTAAAGGTCTATCATACATTCATCTTAGTGCAACATTTCACAAACAAAAAAACCTTCACCTTTACCTCCATAATGTCCAGTGAACAAGGACCATTATGCGTCAGGTCTGGCCAAAAGATTACTTTACTATCTGCTTTTATCTTTATTAGTTTATTTTCCTAATTTGTCAGGCTTATTGTTTTTTGTTTGTTTGTTGGCTTTTTAGACTCTGGGTCTGTTTAGTCTATAATTTTCACTCTTTGTCTAATAATAAAAGCATTTTGTCTATGGTTTTTCCTCGTACTGGGGAAAGCATTGTATTTTAGAATGGGGAATCGGGATGAGGAATTCTATGAGTGTGTATCTATGGAAAAAATGTTAGAATACCAGGAAAATCTCAGGCGACAGTACTGGAAGAAGGTGCCTAGTTAGCTGTTCTTTGGGAGAAAAAAAGATGATGAAACCAGTTCCACTGGCAACAGGCTATTAAATACAGCAATTCAAATGATGGAAACAAGCCCCTTTTCCTTTAAAAAAAAAAAAAATTCCACCTTAGGCACATTTCAAAAGTGCTTATTATCTTTACAGTCTGAATAATCTATATTTACAGTTTTGTTTTCTTTTTAAACCAAGATATTTAGAGGGTTGGCTTTTTAAAAAATTTCCAAGCAGGCCTGCTGCCTCTACCACCGCCAAAATGTCTACAGGTGCCCTGCAGGTCCAAGCGCTGCCTCTGGCAGAAAAGACTGCAGCAGACACAAAACCAAGTGGATGAGGTGGTGGACACCACGCACGTCAATGTGGACAAGGTGTCAGAAAGAGATCAGAAGCTCTCTGAGCTAGACAACCTTGCAGATGCACTGCAGGCAGGAGCATTCCAGTTTGAAACAAGTGCTGCCAAGCTGAAGAGAAGATATTGGTGGAAGAACGGCAAGATGTGGGCAACGGGATGTGGTTATCATCATCCTTGTCATTGTGTGGAGTTTTTCTTCATGAGTATCCCATGAAACTCAAGCCTGCTGTTCAAGAAACCTCTCCAAGACTTCTGACTTAGAACCTGCTATATCATCAAGCTTACTTACTGTTATATATAAAATGATTATTTTTGGTCAGTTAATGTAAAGTTTGATTTCTATGAAACGTGCCTTTGTTTTTTAATATGCACTCCAAACTAGAAGTGCAGTCACCCCAGCCCACGTTTTGCATAGTGTCTTTACAAATTTACATACGGGCTGACGATGAGGACTTGTAAAGTTGCAAAGAGTTATAATCTAGAAGTAATGTTGTCACTGATTAATTGCTGTTGATTCTAGTTAAGGGAATTTGTTCCAAGTTAGCTATCCTCTTTATATGATACTGTCTTCAGAGCCATATTTTTAACAAAGGCTTTGAGTAATCAGATTCCCAACTTATGCCTTCCTAAAAGAACACTACTACCTAGTCTAAATCTATGACAGTAACAGGTCGTGCCTTATTCTGATATTTTTCTGAGTCCCTCTAAAAGAATCCACTACTGTTTATAAGCACTACTGGCGCTTTCGCTGTATTTAAAATAAGATACCGGTAAAGAATTTTTGCTCTTGTGTTAGGTACGAAGATGTTTATCTTCTTGTTATTACGTATAACTTGCTAAAAGACAGTATTTTAATCAGAAATAATAATGCCTTTAAAAGCACTGTTTTTACAGAACTATGGCTATGACCAAAGTTTCTATTTTGCCAAAAAGTTAAATCCTCGTAAATGTCCTGTAGGTCTGTTCCTGACAGATAAATGCAGAAAAGTGCCAAATGGAACTCAGTGTGCCCTTCAAAACTAAAACTTTAATACTGTGCTGAAGCCTCTACATCTTGCCAGGCCATCCCTGCCTTTGAGATGCTGTGGATGGTGTGACTCCCCTTCCAACTCAGCATTTTCCTAGGGTCTAGAGGAGGTTTGTGCCAGACACTGTCCGTCTCATACCTACAGATATGGGGTTTTATCGAGCAGTTTGTAGATTATCAGCTATGGATTCCAATACGCTTCTAATAATTATGTGAGAAACAATTTTGTAGTTTCAAGTAAGACCATCTATGCATTTGATCACTGTCTGGCCCAATCCTCTGAAGACTGTATCTTTTTAGAGTCTGTTTCCTTTTATTCCATATTCCACTTCCTGAATCAGTCTTCTAAATTATGCTTTCAATTAGGCATTGGTCAGGGGTGGATGACTTTTCACAGAGGATAGCTAACTAGAGCCTTTGATGTCATAAACTGTTTGCACAGGATGCTACTTGGGAATAGCTGCTGCCATGTGAGAGACTGTTGCGTACTGTGAGACCTCCAACTTGAGGGTATGCGGTTCAAAGACGGGAGCGCAGCTATGAAGGAAAACAGGCAAGGGGGCACGAGGGAGCCACTCAGAGACTTCACCACTCTGTGGCCCACAGTTACTGGAATGTTCTAAAATTCTTATTCACATGCTATTACGTGACTTACAAAGCAAGAACAGCTGAGGTACACCAGGACACAGCTTCCATTTCTTTAACACCTGTTCCCCTAACATCACTAAAATGATGTAATGTTCAAGACTTGCCTTACAGTGAGAGCAGAGGACAAATGTTGGTGTCGGGACATTAGCTGTCATCGGCACAGGGTCTCTGGCCAGGTCTGACTGAACCACGGTGCTCTGTCCATGGCCTCCATGTTCAGTCCCATGTAACCCGCTGGCTGCTGTATTAACCTAGAATACCTCACTGGCATCTGGGCACTTAGCTGGGAACCTTCCCACGACAATGGACTGAATAAAGTGTTTATAAACATTAAAAAAAAAAATTTCCAAGTAGTTGGATAATTTTTGACATCATTTTTTAATTAACAGCTAGTTTTGTTGTATTGGATTAGAACATGTAGCTGCTTTTGGCAATTTACTTGGATTTTCTTCACAGTGATATTTAATCAATTTGTGAAATGTGCCAGAAACATTAACAAGTAGGTAGGTATCATCTCTGTAGGGTACAAAGCTCAAACACTGTTATTAAATTGACCTTATTAGTTACTTCATTCAGATCCTGTTATGACCCTTATTTAATTTTTGTCACTTTGATCTGTCAGATGAGGTTGTTAAAGACTCCTCTCAGGATGTCTCTTTCATCTTCTCCTAGTGTTTCTAAAAGTTTTTTGCTACATACAACTTGATGCAATGTTATTCTGTGAATGATCCTCACTGTATTTGTACCTTTATTAATATACAATGACTTTTTTTGGTCCCATTTAATGCTTTCTGACCCTGATTTTCATGTTGTCTGACATTATATTAAAACACCAATGATCATTTTCTTTGAATTGGTCTGATGTTATCTTTACCTTCTTGAATTTTTCCTAACATCACTATTTTTGTTAGATCTCTTTTTTGGCTGGACTTTGATTTCTGATCCAATCTTAGAATTCTTACTTTAAAAAGGAGTTTAATCAAATTATATTTCCTGTTATAACTAATTTTTATAATACGTCTTACACCTTGTACTCTGCTTTGTTTTTTCTTTTGCTACAAGAACTGTTTTAGTTGCTCCTATCTTCTCCAATGCTGTGAGAGACACACAACTTACCTTAAATTTGACTAACAGTTACCATTTAATTTTCAAAACTATTATTTAACATTCATTTTTCTATTTGTCAAAGAAAGGAATAAAATAAAAACCACATATAAAAATATAACACTTAAACATACTTTTTAAAAACCTATCCTTCCTTCACCACCATTTCCTGGTCTTTATTAGTCCGCTGGGTGTTTAGAGGCAGATTACTTTTATTAAAAAAAAAAAAAATTGTATCTTTTCTTTTGATAACTGCACTGGGATTTATAATAATTATAACACAATTCTGTTGTAACTGGTTCAGAATCTGGCTCTACCCTGTCCCCAAGTCCATTTTAATAATATCCCCACTCTTGATTTCTTAAGTCTACTTCATATCTCAGTTAGAGGAATTATATTCATAAGTAATTTTACCAACAATAAATGGGGGACATTTTTAAGTCCGTGTTTAAAAAGAAAAAAAAGGCAGCTTATGAAAAAATAAACTTTTGGGTCACAAATTTTTGAACCCTAAACTGAAAAGTGAGGTCCCTGGCCTTGCACTTGACTACTAACCTAAAGGTGGGGAGTCTGAGCCCACCCAGTGTCACCACAGAAGAGGGGCCTGGCAACCTGTTTTCATAACCATTACAGCCAAGAAAACCCTATTGGAGCAGCTCTACTCTGTAACACACGGGGTCACCATGAGTTGGAATCGACTCAACAGCATAGGGTTTTTTGGTAAACCCAAAAGGGTCATGGGAGCAAAGGGATTACAAAAGCTGGTTGAAGGCCATGTTCTATTTGGCTGAACAGAAATTGCATTTTAAAAAACAAAAAGAAAGATTCATCAAAAGGAAAACCAGGATACAGTAAATACTTAAGAATATAAATTGGAAGAAATTCAAAGAGATGCAAGCCAAAGAAGAGCGCACAAAAGAGAAACCTAAAGAAAACAGACCTGTGAGATCTTCCTTAAAGACCCATCACAATTCTCAGTATTGTGAGGTCTATGGAAACTGACCACCACCAAGCCAGCCATTCCTGATAGCTGTAAGAATTAAAAGACCTAAAAATGGCTCAGCTGGTGGTGTGAGTAGACGTGTGATATCTTAGTGGTCTTGGAATCAGTATTAAAAAAAAGTAGCGGCCATCGAGTCATTTCTGACTCATGGTAACCCCACGTGTATCAGGGTAAACTGTACTCTGTAAGGTTTTCAATGGCTGGTTTTTCAAAAGCAGGCCTTTCTTCCAAGGCACCTCTGGGTGGATTCGAACTGCCAACCTTTCATTTAGCAGCTGAGCACTTAACTGTTTGCGCCACCTAGGGACACTGGAATCAGTATACATATCCCTGAAATTCCAAAATTCATCTTTATACTTTGAAGATTTTTGGTTGTTTGCCTTTGACTTTCCCCCCAGCATTTTACTATGAAAATTTTCAAACAGAGAAAAATTAAATTTTAAAATGAGCACTCATATACCCACCACCTGGATTCTATACTTAATATCCTATTAGAGTTACATTACCACATATCTATCCTTCCATCCCTAACTCCACTTATCACTCATTGCCTTTTGAGTTTAAAACCATTTCTTAAACTCCATCCCTTCAAGCAGAGTTTCTCAACCTCGGTATTAATGACACTTTGGGCTGGATACTTCTCTGTTGTAGGGGGCTGTTCTGTGCACTGTAGCTGGCAGCAGCATCCCTGGTCTCTACCCACTAGATGCCAGTAGCACCCACCTCCCCCAGCTGTGACAACCAAAACTGGCTTCAAACAATGCCAAATGTCCCCTGTCCTAGAACACCTATCAGCAGTCTTTGCAAATGGTAGGCACTCCTTAGATACTTGTGGACAAATTAGACTGGGGCTTTATCTAGATATCAGATAGCCCACACTTGAAAGTAAGCCTGAAGCAAAACCAGTGGTATGGACTAAAAGTAGTGTGTAGGGTCTGTGGCTGCTAGTCACGTTTTTATTTATTTTTAAAGATGGTATAGATTGATATATGGCACAGACAACTTAATACTATAATAACCTACATACAATCTAGCATACTCAACATTTTAACACAAATGAGACCTGAGGTAACAAAAGGATAAATTAATACTAATCCAAAATGCTTAAGTGTCACATTTTTTACTTTTCATAAATCATTCAATCTCATATTAAATGTGGTTTTAAAATAAAAACAAACCTACCTTCACAGCCCAAAAGTCACATGACAACAACAAGATAATTGTCACCATACAGGCAATGAAGCTGCTGCTCAACAATTCACAGAGAAGATAGACTACAATTGCACTGACTCGAAAGAACAAATGGAAAAATGATGCCACTGGGTGTCTGAAAACCAAAACATAATAACAGAAATGCAATTACATTTTACTACAGGTACTAACAGATGTAAATAAAAAATGTTTTAGCCAGGACATAACTATGCAGAGTTTTGTCAAAATAAAACAGGTGATTAAGGAAGCAGCAGACTGTCTATCTTGCTTTCTTCTTAAGTCCCACAATTTGACTAGGTCACAGAAAATGTCACGACTCTATGTAAACATGACTCTCTGTAAACTTGACTCTAACACCTCACTGAATATAAACCTTCACAAGATATATAACAAAAACTTTACCAAATTTGGAGGAATAAGGAAACTATACTCAGGATTGGAATTCTATTCCACATGTTCAAAAATCATGCCAAAGAAGGGGACAAGAAAGCTGGTGATAGGGAACCCAAGGTTGAGTAAGGATATTGTTGATGGGTTGTGAGACTGTTAACCATTGTCATAGGGCAACATGTCTAGTAACTGTTAAATGAGAAACTATTTTGTTCTGTAAGCCTTTATCTTAAGTGAGAATAGCAGCACAACTGGAAGAGCGTAGTCAATGTCACTGAACTGTGCATGTAGAAATTTTTGAAATGGTGTATCTTTGGCTATGTGTATTTTCA